TGATATAGAGAGGGATATCCATGCTGTGATGGCTTATGCACCGTAGCATGCCATGCATTGCGGCATGTGGCATAGAGCCATTCATATTTGTTTTTCTCACTTTTTAATGTTAGGGTGGCCTGACTTCCCTTCAGAATTGATTCTAGGGCTGAAATCATACCTCAAAACATCTGTTAACTCTTTGAAATCATATATCATAGTAATTTATTTAATTAATCTTATTAACTCAGATAATTAAGGGTTAAATTTTTTAGGATGTTACATAAAGCATAGAATAATACTTTATATCAATACCACTTCACACAAATTTTCTAAAATATCAACAAGTCATACTTAAATCAAAATTTTCATAATAGATTATATATATGTATATATATTTGCAAACTCATAACTACTCAAATATACACATAAAATGACTAGATTATCCAGTTACTTTAACCTTTTTGTTACAAAAAAGATTACTGTGGCAATTAGTTACTCCTCATAAGTCCACAAGCTTAAAGGGGCTCGATTAATATTTGATCTACAGGATTAAATACTAAACAGTTATAACTATAATTAAACCCCTTTTTTACTTAATTTTGGATACTCACTATATCTAAATTTTCTTTTTAACATAATTAGTACTTCCAACACACTATGTTAATTCCATTTTACACCCAAACACTTAGACAACATCAGTTCTTCACCCTACATTACTCCGTAAACTCAAACTTTTATTTAGGGTTCGTCTAAACCCTATCTCAAAACTCTAAATCACTATAAAATCCTTAAACCTAGGTTTAGAAACTTGATTTAACTCCCTAAGCCTCTAATCAAGCCAATAGGTTTAGCCAAAACTCAAGGAAAATCAAAATCAACCCCCAACAATACTAAACTCATATAAATTTTACATAAAAAGGAAGGAGAGTAGATAGGAAGCTTACCCAAGTGTTAAACTGGTGTAAATTGCCTCAAAATTGCTTTAAAAGTGAAGCCCTAGCAGAGAAAAACCCTTTCTCTATCATCCTCCCCGTTTTCTTCCTTTTTGTCTTCTACTTTGAATGCATGCAACTATTTAATTAAATCAAATTTTCACACATCTACTGCATCGTATGGCATGTCTGCCATGGCCTGTAATGTTTTCCTTAACATTACCATGACAATACACTTACACACCATTGTAATAATTAGGATTAAATAAAATCTCAAGAAAAAGTTATCACAACCTAAAGGTTTAAAAGGTAATTAATTTAAAATAATGGGATCTTAAGAAAACTTTTTTTAAAAATATTATTTGAGCTTAAACCAAAGTTTAAAATCAATCAAATATGATAACGAAAACATGAAAATTAAACAACACTTAAAAACAAGCTGATACAATCTAGAAATTTTTCATAATTTAGCTTGCTTGTCACGATGGATGGCACAGAGGGATGAGTTTCTTAAATAGCATGATGAGTTCCTTAAATAGCATTTGCGCCACAAGCGCACCTACTGAATGCTGTCATGACAGCACTTTGAATTTCTAGAGTACACCGTTTCGCCATTCGACGTCTGATTTGAGTGGTTCAAGTGTCCACACGAAGCTTTTCGAGCCCTCTAGTTATTGGCATTGATCTCACACCCAAATAATTATCCATTAAAAAGATAGACACCTGAACCTAAAATAATTTGTTTTCACCTTAAAACACTTTCAAAGGTGTCCAAAACACACTACCAAATGCCATTAGCTCCAGAATCAATTTGACCCCTCAAATGGACCACATATAAGATAATAAGCTAATCATATCACACAAATAAGCATTCATACTCAAAATGACCACTAAATTCTCAATTCTCAATAATACAAATGGGTGGATAAAACTCAATATAAATATTGTTTTGGTCATTTTCACACATAAATCATTATAATTATATCACTTATAATTGTATCTTAGTCTCTCACTCACATTTGATCACAAATAATACAAGCTTAGGCTGAGATACGCACACATTTCACATATTATCATACAAGTGATAATAAGATCATGAAATGCTCTTGAGTTGGCATAATATTTATGACATATTCATTACAAATCAAAATGACAAGGAGAAGAGCTATACAAATGAGCTCTTTACTCTTTAGTTGCCCCTTCCTTCCCTTTGCTCCTACCAGAGCCCTCACCAGTAAAATATAACCACGGGGTAAGATAAATATCTTAATAACAAAATAATTCTCTACTATTAATTAACATGCACAACTATATGGGAGTAAAGCTTTTATACACCAAAATATACTTTCAGCATAGTTCAAGATAGTCTTTTTCATAATCAATATTCATTTCCACTTTAGCATAATCATTTTACCATCCAAGCCTCCATATCGTTTTGACTGAAACCATAGGCTCTTGGGCCAAGTACACACTCACAATGACTCCAGCACACTTTCAGTAGTAGGATCACCCGGCCAAAGGTATCTTATCCCACTTCTGGACTATGATCTCCCCCTATCGCACATGAATTGGGGCATTGTTACTCCTACATCACATAACTGATGCTAAGGAACGTTACTCTCCAACTTCATATCATGCATAGATACTAAGGAGAAAAATTTCCAACACCATACCACACTAGACATTAAAAAGATACATGTTATATGGACTTTTACTATTCCTTCCTACTGGTGAACTTACTCCCTACATGATCATACTCATGCATCTCATACCAAACTCATATACATATCCAATTCTTACTATAATCATATAAAACTTTCATAAAACTTCACCGTTTTGAAATTGTTTCACATGCACAAAATTATATTTCATAATATGCAATGTTGTCAAATCATAAGTAGCAAACATACATATCTACTTACAAATAATTAAGCAATATAATCAAAGAGTGTAAATTATTCTATTACCTTAATCCTTTGTCACAAAAGGGTTATTATGGTTCAACATTAGTTCCACATGTTCTATACACATGATAAGCTTAAGCAATACTCAATCTACACAATCAAGTGACAACCGTCAATTATCATTCCGGATAAACCCCAAATTCACTAGGTTCTAAGTACCCATAACACTCAAATTTCTTATCTAACAACATCAACAATTTCCAACACTCTAACTATCCTATTAAACATCTCAACATATTAAAATCACCAACCAATTATCCACATTGTCAAAAACTCTCAAATTATGCTTAGGATTCGTCCAAACCCTTAACCAAAATTTTAAGTCACCATAAAACTCATAAACCTGGGGTTAGAGGCTTGATTTAACTCCTCAAGACTTTAAATAAGCCAATGGGCTCAGTCTGAACCTAAGAAAACTGAGATGAAAGCCTCAACCATAGCCAAAAACATGAGAAATTCACATAGAGGGAGAGGGAGAGGTGTAGAGAGCTTATCCAATGAAAAATCTTACCCCAAATGCATTCAAAAGGGTCTAAGGATTATGCCCTGGCAGTCACAAGTTCCTTTCCATCTTTCTCTCATTTTCCCTTCTTTCTTCCCTCTGGTTCTGGTCTATTTTCACAAACTGATAAATGCTAATTTTGTACGTGTGTCGTGGCGCATTGACACGTATGGCATAGAGAGTTCCACCACAATTTAAACTTTCCTCCATACCATGACCTACTTCAACTTCAACCTAGCCTTCTTCTAAGGTTGTTTAAAGATCCAAAAACTAAATTAGTCTCCTATAAACATCATTAATCAATAACTTATCTAGTTTGACCAAAATAACCTTGAAAATACTGATAATTCCCAAATTGAAAATTTAGGATGTTATATGGTAGATAGCATAGTGAGGCTTAGAATGATTTTAGGCCTTACTTGATACCTGGTTCATGCAAACTTCTATCTAGCCTTCTTCTAAGACTGTCTAATGATTCAATAACCTCATTAATGGTATGAGAACGTTATTAACTTATTAATCACTCAATTTTATCAATTTTTACCTTTTAAATACTAAAAATTCAAAGTTTAAAATTGAGAATGTTATAAAAAGTGACTTAGGATTATCTCCAACTTAAATTTATCTACTCTAATGGAGCCAATCCTTGACTTAGGACATGCCCCTTTGGTTATAGCTCATTAGACTCAACTATACATATCTTGAAGGATTGCAAGAGATCTAGAGAGATTTGGTTGAAATTAGTTAAAACAATCTAAATTAACCACTTTCTTTTCTCTCTTTCCAGGAATGGATGCTTTGAAATGCAAAGAAATATGCGAGTAACCTAAGTGCAAGAAAAACATCTTGATAAAGACTCTTTGCCTATGTGTGCTAGAACATTTAGAAGGAAAGGTGCAAAAACATCTACTCTGAAGAAAACACACCTAATGGTTGTTTTCACTAGCCTCCAAGATACTCTCAACTATCTCAACCTTCAATCAAGAATCAACTATTTGTCCCTATAGGGTGATAGATCAAAAGTAAAATGGTACTTCTCTTGTCGACAACCATGGTGCAACTACTTATGGTGAACTCATCCGAGATGATCAAGGAAATTAGATCAAAAGCTTCTCCAAATACCTTAGCTCCCAGCACAACTGCTAAACTCATAGGCATCCTTAAAAGTTTTAATATTTGTTGGGTTGAAAAAATTAACAAAGTAAACATCTACTCTAACTTTATGAAAGCACTCATGCTTATCCACAATAAGTTTTTGGCAAATCATCCTATATCTACATCTATCAACAAAATCAAAACACTTATCATAAAATATTGAATGGTCACTTTTAATCACATCTTTAAAAAGGTAAATAATTGTGCTAACTGGCATACCAAGCTCTTATTAATAATGTAAATGTTCATATGTTTTATATCCCACCATTTGGCTGTAAAAACCTTTTGAACCCTAACATAACGTAAGTGCCTATTCGCACAGTTTTTCCATGACCTTCTATTTTTTTTAAAAAAAAAAAAAACCTCACGCTTGATAATTTTGTTTTGACAAAATTTTGTAACTAAAATATATCCACGAGGTACGCACTACATTTTCTACGCCACAATGTCAGTAGATAAGTGAGATAAGGAAATTATGTGATGTCTACATGCATTATTGCAATGAAGTTTGTGAAATTGCCCAATAAAAGTTACACAAAAATTAAGTGCAGCAAAACAAGCATGTTAATCACCAAGAGCAGAAAAAACTTAGATGCCCTGCTCAAGCATTGCTCGCACCCTCATTGGAAGGCCATAAAGCCGTATGAACCCAGCAGCATCGGCTTGATCATAAATCTGACCACTCTCAAATGATGAAATATCTTGCCTGTACAGGCTATAAGGGCTCTTCCGGCCAGTCACAGTAACAGAGCCCTTGTACAGTTTCAATGTCACAGAACCTGTTGTAGTTGCTGTGATCTTCTCCATAAAGGCATCCATGGATTCTCGGAGAGGATCAAACCACCTTCCAGCATACACCAGCTCTGCATATTTAAGGGCTAATGAATCTTTGACCTGGATTGTTTCCCGGTCAAGGGTCAAAGACTCTAACTCCCGTGCTGCAGTGAAAAGAATGGTTCCTCCAGGAGTTTCATAAACTCCTCGGCTCTTCATGCCGACAAGCCGGTTTTCAACCATGTCAATCCGACCAATTCCATGCCTTCCACCAATTTCATTGAGTTCAGAGAGTAAAGATGCTGGTGAAAGCCTCTTCCCGTTGACTGCAATGGGTAATCCTGATTCTATACCGATATCCACATATCTGCAAGATAGAAGAACATGTGTTATAATGTGTCAAGTCTAGCAGAAACATGGGCACAATGAAGCAACAACATTAAACAAAATTTGCCACATGACAAAATATTCCGTGTTTAGTTGCAATTTGAAGTGTCACATTGCATCTGATACTTGTGTGTGATGCACATCAAACATAATCCAACATTGTTTTTGAAGTTTTGGTGCTTCATAACATCACAAGAGCATAAGGATATATTTACTCTGCTTGATTTGGAGCATCCTCTGGATCCACAGACATCATGTACATATCCTTTTTTGGCTCGTTTGCAGGATCTTCCAAAATATCACCCTTTGGCATCACAGATTGCAAAAGTGAGAGAAAGAAATATCAATATCTATATGTCAATTCTAGTTTCTAGTTTTGGAATAAGAACCAGGCTGTGCATTCAATTTGATGATTCAGATTCCATTAGTAATCATCAAACTATTGAAATAAAATGTCTGCGGCAACTTTCAGTGCATCCTCTCTACGTCCTCTCACAAAAGGGTCAAAATCAGTGGAGCTGTCTTTAATGTTTTAACGAAAGTAAAATAAAAAGATCTATAGAAAAGTTTATGATAGCAACTTGCAGCCCCAAAAAGATGCCTTGGGATTACTTACAATAAATTCGCTTAAAGAGAATAATCTGTTTGCTTATGTGAAAATTGGAGCTTTTTTTCTATTTTTTTTTTCTTTTACTGTGAATCATAACTATACGTTTTAGTGACTTATAATCATGGAATTTTTGTTTCAAACTTCTATCAAAGAAGGACAAAGAAAGATAATAAAACAAAAGAGTAATTTAAACAAACCTTTCTAGAACTTTGCCAAAAATATACTTTTTTTATTTTCAAAATCCACACAATCAACCCTTAAAGAAAAGTACACCATTCATGATTTTTGTTAAAAATTACACTCACCTCCGTTCTATTTTGTTCTTTGTTTTTTTGGCCAAAACCCCCCCAATTCTATTTTCAAAAACCATACAAACCTTCTATAAAAATAAAAACTAAATTACATAAACCTCGTGATTTTTGCTAAAATTGCACATACAATCCTTCTATTTAAAAGGCATATATATATTTTAAAAATAGATGAGACTTGCACAATTTCAACAAAACTCAATCAAAATTTGGGTCATTCACTCTTTGTTCCGAGAGAAGCCATGTACATTTTGAAAATAGATAGGAAATTCATGTAATTTAATCAAAATTTGGGGGATATTTACATTATTTTAAAAAAAATATTCTTGTACTTTCAGCAAATCTCATAATAGGTTGTGCAATTTAACTAGAGAACATAGCATTAGAATATTCTACAATAATGGGAAAAAAGCAATGACAGACCATTCACGGGAAAAAAACAATGACAGACCATTCATGCAGCTAATTTTCACACTAAACACTTTTACCTCATGGCTAAGGTGCCAAAGGTTTCTGTCTCTGCTGTATATGGATTTCTTTGTCACAGGAACAGGTACGTTATGCTTCTTTGCATACTCAACCGCATCTTCCCTCCCTGTAATGTCCCACTCCCTCCATGGAGCCACAACATTTAACTTGGGATTCAGAGCAAAGAATGTGAGCTCAAACCGAACCTAAATGATATAAACTTGTGTTAGAAGGCACAAAGATGGCACAGTTAAATCAGAGTGTAATTGTCAACATGCCTGATCATTTCCTTTCCCAGTACAACCATGAGAGACAGCATCTGCTCCAACTTCTTTCGCAACATCCACCATGGCCTATCAGCATATATGCATTAGATAACGTTTGTTACAAATTAAGTATCTTAGATGATGGTTCATGACATTTTCCCAACTTTTACCTGAAAACTTGAGACTAAAAAAGGCATCAGTAATGCACTAAAAGCTAACAAAGATGTGATAATGGAGAAGAAAATTGAAATTTGAAGGTCAATCTTTAATGCAGGGAGTAAAATCTTATTGACTATTAACTGAAATAATGTGATTACAGTCAGCACCATCATTTATTTCTAACTTAGGAACTTATCAACTTAGAATAAAAAACGAAAAACATACTTTGGCAATAACAGGGCGAGCCATTGAAGTCCCAAGGAGATACTTCCTCTCATAAATTGCACCAGCACGCAAGCAAGGGAATATGTAATCCTGAACAAATTCCTCCTTCAAATCCTTCACCACCAACTGAGAGGCTCCACTGGCTTTGGCCTTCTCTTCTAAACCTTCCAATTCCTTTAAACCCTAGAAAGTTTAGCATTCAATATCAAACATGCAGCAAATAGAATAATATAGGCGAAGCACGCTCCATTAGCATAAGTTTACAACCTCAAAGCATCATTCCTAACAAGTAACAACAAAAGAATAGTCTTGAATAAAGAAATTGAGGTTATAACATACCTGGCCAACATCAGCAGTGAAGCAAACAACATCGCAGCCATAATTCTCTCTGCACATCAAAATTCATCAAAGAAAGAAATGATGATGATGAGATGATATTAAGCAAGTCCAAGCATAAATCATATAATAAATAGGCTTTTAATAGTAAAACCATCATTAAAAACAATATCTGAACCAAAAAAAAAAATCTAATATCAGTGAATTGATAATGTTATCTACTGTCCAGTATCCCCGGGGGGGGGGGGAACATATATACCTTAACCATGGGACAATGACTGATGTGTCTAAACCACCACTATAAGCTAGCACAACCTTATTTAATTTTCCTCGAAGCCCACTAGCCTTGACATAGGAAACGTCTGTCTCTGTATCACTGTGCAGAACTGCTTTTACTACTGCATGTCAAAAGTACTTTGTGAGACTTACAAACATGATGCTTCAATCTTGAGCAGCATCAAATATTTTAATCTACAATTAGTGTGTCAAAAAAGAATTTCTTAAGTAACTTTAAAATCCAATATAACCCTCTTTTCACTACAAATTGAAGATAAAAAGCCAAAAACCTTGGGTTCATACTCATTCAAATGAGCTTTTTTCTGGCAACTACTCATTCAGATGAGCTGAAGTGGTTTTTAATGTATAATATCATAAGCTAAATTGTACGGCAGTTCTACCATGATTTATAACAGTCAAGTATCATTTTATCCCAAAAGCATAGGCTACTAGGAAAATGTCTATGAATGATTTTACCATCTTCTTTGCCAATAAGAAATAGGCCAATTTTATGAAATATATGAATGGGTTAATATTACTTGATCAAGAGTTACAAGCAACAGAAATTCCATAGCTAAATAAGGTATTGATTGAAAGCTTTACCACTATGAGAATCAAGGAAATGGAAATAACCAGCTAGCTCTTAATGAGAAAGCCGCATTGTGTTTACTTTATCTATTACTATGAAATATGAACGCATATTAGACACTTCACCAAAATAAAAGATAAACAAAAGGGTAAGGTATTTCCATTTGAAAATGGATTGATAAAAGTTTAAAAGCTTTACCACTATGACAATATGTTTCCCCTATGGAAGTGGAAATAAACAGCTAGCTGTTAATGAGAATGCACCATTGTGTTTACTTCATTTATCACCAAGAAACATTAACGCATATTATACCTTCACCAGGATAAAAGATTAACAAAAGGGTAATACTTGACTAGAATTTATAAACCTAAGTCAATGTATGAATCATTTAAAGTTACATGAGAGGAAAAGCAATAAATCTCACCCGGAAGTTTGGTGATGCCAATGTTTGTTCTTGGCCTCAACTACATATAGAACTCCCAAATAAGACCATCAATGCACACACAGAAACATATAGATTGGCTCAAAGAAGAAAACTTGTATAAAAATTGAAGAAGAAAGCTTTCAGCCCACCTCTCTAGGTGATGATGGCTTCGCGTACCATATTTGGGGAAGCAGTAGATGCTCTATGAATAAAATTAATTGCAAGCAATTAGGAAATTGCCTAGAGCAAACACAATTCGCATGAACAAACAATTTCATTCAAAGCTCCCAATTTCCACCATATATGAAATCATCAAACATCAATGGCCCATTGAATAAGATCGTGGATTCTTGATTTCCAGAGAGAAGGAAGTAAAGATAAGCAGACCCCACGATTTTCGAACAGAATATATCACATGGGGATGAAGAAATTGAAACATGCAGCCAAAAGAGAAAAATAGACACAATAAACCTTAACCAAACACACCTGTTCTATGTCCCAAGGGAGATAGATTCGAGCATGAATAAGGAGAAACTGCTTTCAGCTGGGCCATTACTGCAGAGTCAAGTTCCTGCTTTCAACTTGGCCCTTTTGTGAGAAAGGCAATCACCGGCATTACTTGACGGACCTTATATCAGTTATTACAAGAAAATCTCGGCAGATACTGGAATGCAGAAAAGTATTAAACGAAGAAATCACCGCTCACCACGATCAACGTACGAAAAGAACAGGGCTGGAGACTAGCGGATACTGAGAGAGGCCAGAGAACTTCAGAGTACGAGAGAGAGAGTGCGAGGGGAGATAACTTCTATCCTGTGTCACGATGTTTCTGAGGCTGAGCCGAGGAGAGGGAGAACGCGAGTCGAATAGTGAGCGCGAGGGACGGGGGCAGCCGCACTGGGTGCCTGACTGAGCTAGTGGGCCAAGACCTGAGAGGCAAGGAACGACTATGTGGGTGAGAGCATCAAGTTCGGTCCGGTCCGGTCGGAAATGCACAAAACCGATTCATCCAAATCTGCAAATCATTTGTGCCAAATGGGACAAAAGTTCGAACCGAGATGGGATCAAATTGAATTTTAAATTTTTAATGGTTTGATTCAGTTAATTTCGATTGTTCAACTTTACAGGGAACCACTTAAATCTTCTATGCTGTATTTACATTTTTGTTCATTTCATTATTTAAAAAAAAAAGTTGTTAAAGGCATAATAAACATTCCAAATAGTGGCGGAGCCCTTTTGGAGCTTCATTTTTTTAAAAATTATAAGTGAGACATGTAAAATTTACAATTTTACACCTCCTATTTTAATAATTTACTCCCTTTGAATTAAAAAAAACATTTAAGTTTAAAAACTTATTAAATATATAATATTTTAATAATTTAAATAAAATATGAAAATATATTTATAATAAAAGACTATATCAATTTATTTAATATAATTTTTTAAAATGAATAATAATAATAAATTTATTTATATTATTATAATTTTAATCCTAACATAATTATTACTATTTTTTAAAGAATATTAATTTTTTATTAAATTATTTCGCACATCCTTGACTTAAGATCTTGGCTCTACTACTTATTTCAAATCATATATATAATATATATGAGCCTTTTTTTATATGAGAATGACTCAGTTCTAATTTATTACCCTTGCATGTATGTATCAAAAATTATAAAAAATTGATCAATCCCACCTCCATGTGTGTAAGGTGGTGGATAATAATAGAAAAAATATTCTAAAGGATACTATCGCTAATCCTAACTTTAATTGGTACAAGTCATTTACTTTTAAAAAATATAAAATAAACTGTATATAAACTATTAATGGTATTATGTAAGCAAAATATATATATAATTAGATTGGTTCAGTCTATCTGGTTTTAAAATTTTTAGACTAAATTAATTTGATCAACTAAAATTTTAAAGGAAAAAACAATGGGATAATGATAATAAAATATTTTCAAAATATGCAAATAATAAATAGTTACCATGTAATATGATTATTGTTATCTAGTTTTTTGAGACTTATTTAACATTTTATTTTTTATAAAATGACATATTTACCCATCCTTCCTCTCTCCCTCTTTCACCGCGGCCTCCTCTCTCTCAAATATGTCAACTCAAAATGTCATATGTCATTTTGTAGTATTTATTTGCCATTAATATCTTTTGGAGGTACTTTATTGTGGTTTTCTCAAAAACAAATCCAACCTCATAATCAAATAAACCAAACTCAACTTAATTCAATTCAATTTTTCATTTCAGTTTGATTTTTGCTCATCCCTAGTGATTAGTCATCATGATCAAGTAAGGGAAATTGGGAGAGTACAACCCTTGCGTTAGGCCAAGCAAGGTAAAGCTTGACATAGAGATTAAAAGATAGAAGAATAAACAATGAGGAGGGAGAGAAAAATGTTCAAAAAGACAAAAGCAATATATCTATATTAGTGGCGGAGTTAGGACCCTGAGTTAAGAGTGCAACATAATTTAATAAAAAATTAATCTTTTTAAAAAATAATAATTATTCTATGACTAAAATTGTAATAATATAAATAATTTTATCATTATTTTTCATTATCAAAAAATTATATTGAATAGATTAATATGATCGTATATTATAAATATGCTCTTCATATCTTATCTAAATCATTAAAATATTATAATTTAATAAATTTTTGAGCCTAAATATTTTTCATTTAATTCAAAGAGTGCAAAATATCAAGAGTATGGGGTGCAAAGTTGTAAATTTTACGTACTCTACTGATAATTTTCTCTAAAGTGATGCACCCCCTCAACTTAACATGGCTCTACTACTGATATATATATATAGTACATTTGTTTTAATTTGATTAAAGCCAAATGTCACAATAAGATTTAGTATATAAGTTTTTCTTTTATATTAATTCAGCAAAATGGCATGCTTGGAATATAACAAGTTCAACTTGGGTGTTTCTGACAGAAAAATTTCTTTCCATGGAAAGAACCTTTTTTTGGAGGAATGTCCTTTTCCTTAAATTATAGGGAGAATTTCAGTTAAGAATTACTGTTAAGCATTAATTTTAGGTGGGTTCAAAAAAAAATTTAAAATTTTAGTTCAATTTAGGAGAGAAAAGTCAAAAGAATTTTAATGGTGAAAAGACTAAGAGACCCTTCACTTGTCATATAGAATCATGAATTTGTTAATTTTCTTACTGCACTTGTTAATTTATCAATATCACTTGTTAATTACATCCGTTTGTCAGACAATCAGTAACATTAGTTGTTAATTTGCTAACATTACTTGTTAATTTACTAACATCAATTGTAAATCATAAGACCTATCAATAATTTATTGTTAGAACTAAGCGATGTGTCATCTCATTGTAGTTAGCTCATACTTATTGTTGTAGCGACATGCTTCAGTTGTAACTTATAACAGATTAGTTGTAACAATATCTGCACACTTGATGTACTATATTCATATATAAATAAGATGTTCCACTCTTAGTGAAGTCAAGTAACAGAGTCTTCTCTCTCATATTAGTCTAAAATTTCACTTGGTATGACGAGCCATCAATTTTTTTTCTCTCTCTTCTCAATGGCTTCCACATCTTTGATCCTGGCCACCTCTTCCTCCTTTTCTGCCACCTCACTTTCAAAACTCTCTTCTTTGGCTCCTTCTTCCTCTTTTTACAATTATTCTTCTTCTACTCCTATCAAGTTGGATAGGACTAATTATTTCTATTGGCAATCTATGATTCTTTCCTCATTGCATGGGCAGCTGTTAGATGAATTTATCACATGCACCAAGCCTTGTCCGACTAAATGAATGACTGAGGATGGCTTAACTATCAATCCACAATATGAAGAGTGGGTTGCTACTTATCAGACGGTGTTTGGTTGGTTGTTATCTTTCATGACTCTAGAAATTAGAAGTCAACTTATTACATGTCGCACCTCTCAAGAGCTTTAGAAGAAAGCTAGAGACCTCATTGGTGTTGATACAAGATCAAAAGTCATTATGCACAAGTTTGAGTTGCAATGCTTTCGCAAGAATGCTATGAGTGTGGATGATTACTTGACTCGTATTAAGTTTCTTGCTGATCAACTTTGTCTTGCAAGCGCTCTTATGCCAAAAGATGAATTAATCACTATTACTCTGGTTGGTTTAAACCTTGATTATAATTCTATTGTCTGTAATTTGTATAGGCGACATGATCTTACATAAATTGATCTTCACTCCAAGCTTCTTACTTTTAAGTATCACCTAGATATGTATAGAAACACGGCTAATCTGTCTCTATTAAATCCTTCTACTAATATAGCTATGACTGACCGTGAAGACAACTATATAAACAAAGGAGGCTCTGGAAACTATGCTGGTGGTCGCAACAATCGTGGATGTGGAAGAGGCGGTAGAAATTAACGTCTAGATTGTCAAGTTTATGGAAAAATTAGACACATTATCTTAGATTGTTACTTCTATTTTGATTGGAATGTAAGGCTTCATAATCAATCTCATCATAACTCTCAAATCAAGGCTCCTTTTGGCTTGCTACTTGCACAGTCTCTCTACAAACCACTGTCAATCTTACTTGGCTTCTTGATAGTGGTGCCACTAGTCATGTTATCAATGACCTGAGCCTTATTCAATATTTTATACTTGTTAATGGTAAGACTATGGCCAGTTATAATGGCTCTAAACTTCTTATTGTTAGAATGAGATTCTCATTTTGTCTTGTTCTTCTCAAACACCACTGCATTTGCCCAAAATGCTCTATATTCTTGGTTCTCAACATAATTTGTTGAGCATGGCTCAATTAACCACTGATAATAATGTCTTAGTGAAGTGTAACTGTAATGGTTGTTATGTGAAGGATTAGGTTTCAAAGAAGGTACTTTGTTAAGGAAAGCTTAAGGAAGGACAGTACAAAGTAACAAGCATGTCAGGTTCTACTACACCTCAAAAAGCTAAAGCTCTGACTTCTATAGCTCATGTTAACTCTAAAACTTTTTTATGGCACTAATGGTTAGGCCATCCATTTGTTAATGTGTTTAGAAATATATTACAATCTTGTAACATCAAAATGAATAAAACAAATCCTTCTTTTTGTTATGCATGTTAGTATGGTAAAGCTCATTCACTACCTTTTCAACATTCTTCCTCTCATACATGATCTATGGTCTAACTAATTCACATACATATATAGGGCCTGACTCCTATTATCAATACCTAGAGTTTTTGATATTATAGCCACTTTGATAATGATGATAGTAGATTGACATGTACACAATTTAAAATATTAATTGAAAACAAGTTTAATCGTAAGATCAAAACAATTTAAAGTGATCAGAGCGGTGAGTATCATTCATTTGCTGGCTTCTTAGCTCACCATGGCATAGAATTTCACCATCCATATCCTCATACTTCTAGTCAAAATGAAAGAGCTAAAAGAAAACACCACCATATAGTAGAAATGGGTCTCTATCTACTTGCTCAGGCTTCTACACCTCTTTATTATTGGTATAAAGCTTTTCAATGTAGTGTATATTTGATAAATTACTTGCCTACTTGTGTTCTAAAAGGCAAATCACCATATGAAGTTTTACATAAAAGCACACCAGATTTAAAGTTTCTATAAGTATTTGGCTATACATGCTTTCTATGTCTTCAACCTTACAGCAATCATAAGTTGCAATATCACATTACTAAGTGTGTGTTTCTTGGATACAACAGTGATCATAAAAGTTAAAATCTTTAAACTTTATTAGAATGTTTATTTCCAAGTTTCTAAACAAAATCCGAAAGCTACCCAATTAATTGATATTTCTTAATTAAGTTTACCTCAAGTTCTTGCAGGCCATCAATTCAACATCACAAATTCTTGATCATAATCTATCCACTCATCTCTCCACCAACCTCACCTACTTTACCACCTACTACTTCTCCACCTTCTCCTTTACCTTCCTTATCACCTCCTTTCATTATACCTCTATTTGCTTCCTTATCACTTCTAGTCACCTTGCCACTACCTTCTCACAATACTTCTCATCCACAAAACACACATCAAATGGTTACTTGCATTAAGATGGGAACATTTAAGCCCAAACACCCCTTGATTGGCCTAATAAAGCAAATGTTAGAAGCAACTTCTGAGCCTTATGCTATATTTAAATCTCTTTCTCACCCACAGTGGTTTGTTACCATGAAAGATAAGTTTGATGCCCTAATTAAAAATGAAACTTAGACTCTAGTTCCCTATATAGGTTGAGAAAACCTTGTTGGATGCAAATGGGTTTTTAAAAACAAGTTTAATATTGATGGTAGCTTTTAAAGATCAAATGTGTGCTTGGTCACCAAAGGCTTTCAACAAAGCCCTAGTGTTGATTACTATGAGACATTTAGCCTTGTGATAAAATCTTCTACTATTTGACTAGTGTTGACTATTACAGTTGCTAAAGGATGGTGTATCAACCAACTGGATATAAATTATGCATTTTTAAATGGTACTTTAAATGAAGTTGTGTGCATGCTTCAACCTGAAAGTTTTGTTGACAAACCAAGCCTAAGTTCATTTGTCAATTTGACAAGGCTTTATATGAATTAAGACAAGCCCTAAGAGCTTGGTTTGATAAGCTCAAAGATGCTTTACTTTATTAGGGTTTTTAAAACACCAAATGTGACACGTCTCTTATTTGGTTTATCAAATCATATTATATTATCCTAATCTTGGTGTATGTGGATGATATTATTGTTATTGGTAATAATGATGTACGGATCAAGTATGTCATTCATGAACTTCATACTAAGTTTACACTTAAGGACATAGGTTGAGTACATTAGTTCCACGATGTTGAGGCTAAATAAGGGTCATATGGTTTACACCTTAATCAAACAAAATATATTGTGGATATATTAAAGAAATATAGAATGCTTTATTTAACTCCTTATCTCACTCCAATGGCATTAGGGAAAACATTATTTATTTCTAATGGAAAGCCTATTCATGATCCAACCAAGTATCGTAGTGTTATAGGAGCTATTCAATATGCACCTCAAATGTGGCCTGGCATTGCCTTTATAATGAACAAACTTAGTCAGTTTCTTCATTGTCCTACAATAGCTTACTGGCATGTAGCTAAAAGAGTGCTTTGTTACCTTAAAGGTACTTCCACATTTAGCTTGCTTATTTGACAAAGTGATGATTTGAATTTTATTGGTTATACAAATGCAAACTAGGCATCATGGCCTAATGATTGCAAATCAGTAGGTGATTATTGTGTTTTCTTTGGCACTTCACTTGTATATTAGAATTCTCAAAAATAAAGAGTAGTTTCTTGTTTGAGTACCTAGTTAGAGCATAGAGCATTGACAAACTTAACGGCTAAGCTTGTATGGTTACATTCTTTGCTATATGAATTGAAGTTTCCACTCATTCGAATACCTCAAATCTAATGTGATAACACTAATACTCAAGCATTGACAAGCAATCTAGTTTTTCACCCTCGGACGAAACACATAGAACATGATGCTCATTATATTCAGGAACAAGTTCTCAATAAGAAGGTTGTCATAAGCCACATATCATCTGTAGATCAACTAGCTGATTGCATGACTAAGTCACTCCCTTACACTCGATTTTGGATGCTAAGAGACAAGCTCAACATAAATTCTAGACCTTCGTTTAAAGAGGGATGTTAGAACTAAGCCATGTGTTATCTCACTATAATTAGCTGTTATTTATTATTGTAGCTATGTGTTTCAATTGTAACTTATAATAGATTAGTGGTAATAATATTTGCACATTTGATGTACTGTATACATCTATAAATAAGATGCTCTACACTTAATGAAGTCAAGTCGCTAAGTCTTCTCTCTTATATCAGTCTAAAATTTTATTTTTACAATTGACGTTAGTAAATTACAAAACTCATCAATAATTTACAATTGATATTAATAAATTAACAAGTAAAATTAGCAATTGAACAACTAATACTACTGTTTATTCCTTTGATCTTATTTATAAGTCACTTTCAACACATTTCACTAATATTAAGGAAAACTTTAAAACTCATTAGTTCTGTCTTAAACTTTAATAAGTTTTCAACTTTGTCCCTATTAAATATACACACTTTAATAATATATTTTCTCTCTCTAACATTCAATGTAAGGTAAAAAAATTTCTTATGAAAATTCAATGACGTGACTTATAAATAAGATCAAAATTTTTTTTATTCTCTTTGCCTTATAAATAGGACCAGAGAAAGTATAATTGAAAAATTAATATTAAGTCTTACATAATTATTAGCACGTCAACTCGTGTAATTTGTAACTCATATTTTTAAATTAACAACTAGTGATTATATATAACAAATGAAGGGTATTTTGATCTTTTTACTATCTAAATTCTTTTGATTTTCTCCCCCTACTGAACTAAAATTTCAAAAAAAAAAATTCACTTGAAATTAATTCTCTATAGTGATTCTTAACTAAAATTCTCTATAAATTATAAGGCATCTTGTTCGATTTTTTTTTTTGAAGTATAAAGAGTGGGCTCTGTAGGTAGAGAATTTTCTCCATTGTTCTCAATGGGCCTTTACTACAGCCCATCACTCCCCCGCGCCCAAACACTTCACATTCATATTTACACTGTCATTTTATATTTTATAATTAGCAAATAAATGTAAGTTGTCTGTAGCCCCGTAATGGATATATTACAGGCACATATTGGATGCCTCATAAATTTCATTTTGTATTCCTAGAATATTATTAAATTAGTCAACTTAAGTGCTAGGCTTTCATTTTTCAATTTCATTCTTTAATTATATTTAAAATTTATTGCAGTCTTCTTTTGACAAAATATTGTGATTGTTTTCATTTAGATTGATGAACCACACTTAATAAATTTTTTTAAAAAAGATTATGATAATTACTAAATTTTTGCATCTTCCACAAAATAGATACCAAATATAAACGCTTTATGGCCAAACTTATGTTAATTAAGGTATAAGGAGATTATCTTGATAAAAAATATTAGGGTTACAATATTCACTTACCTATATATTGCACCAAAATTTTAATGCAAAACTATTTATATTTTTGTTATTGATTTGTCTGATTAAAAGTATAAAAGAACCTTTAGTAATCACATGATAAATACATAATACATAATTTAACTTAAAAGTCATATAATTATTTATGAAGTTATGTATTTATTAACATATTAATTTTCAACTTTGCCCCTATTTTATGTAAATGTTATAAATAAGGAGTTATTAGTTGTCGCTAACAATTTATATGATGAGAAAATGGTGTAGAGGTTTTGAAAGAACTAATTAATTCAACCTAGATCTTAAGTATCAAACTTTAAAATTTTATAAATTTAGCTTTTAATTTTATAATTTTATTGTGATGAATTTGCAACTTATTTTTTATATTTTAATATAGTTAAAAAATAAATTTTTATTTTTCTTATTAAAATTTAAAATATAAATTACACATTCATGATTACAAAGTTATAACATTAAGAAATAAACTTATAAATTTTTAAAATTTGATACTTGAGATGAAAGTTAAATTAATGGATGCTTTTAGAGTTTTGGAGACAATAATTTAGACAAAGCACGACAAGTCAGCTCGAACTGACCATAAAAAATTAAAGTTGAGCTTAATTATATAGACCTTTTAAAGAAATAGAATACTTTAAGTTTGATTTGCATAAGTCTAATTTGAATAAATCTAACTTTCAAAATTTTTAATTCTATGTATATGTAAAGTAGATAATTTTGGCTAAGCCACATAGTCAGCTCAAACTCAATAAAAAAAAAATTAAAGTTAAATTTGATTAGATGAATTTTTTAAAAAAAATAAAATATTTTAAATTTGAGCCCGAGCCTAAGTTCAATCCGTTCAAATTACCAACTTTAACTTTGGACCTATCTCCCATTCTCCGTTGTATTGTTGAGTGCGGAGGCACATTCTTCATCCTGGGACGCCCACCGCAGAAGGCGCCAACGCCAAGCAGCCCATTTATGTATTGCAAGTAATTACGCTGCTTATCTTCTCGCTCTAACTCTGAACAGCACTTATCTATCTATACTCTATCCAAAGCACCATTTCTCACTCTCCAATCTTACTACCAACGTACCTAATGCTATTTCCCTCTAAATCTGTTCACTGAAGCATTCTTTTCTCCTCCTCGTTTTGATTCCAAATGAGGAATTTGAACCAGTTCTCCTTCCCACTTTAGCAATTCCGCTGGCGGGATTCATGGAGGTGGTCATTGCTGAAGTTCGTTTTATTAGTCACTTCCAGCTTCTTCGTCAGGGTAGTCTCTTCTCTTGCCCTTCGTTGTTCCCCTCCAAGAAGTCTCTTCCGCTGTAAGTTTGCATGGCTCAGTCACTTTGTTTGATGAGTGATAACTTTTGTTGCATTGCAACCGAATTATGTATGATAGATTAATTTATTTTAGTTTTTCTGTTTTTAGAATAATTGAGTTCTTACCCATTTCATATGGGGGTGGTTTTTTTTTTTTTTTGTACTTATATACTGTCATCTTACAAATTTCAGCTAAGAGAAAAATTCCTTTCCTTATACCTGGTCTAATAAATGTCATTATTTGGATGGTTTTGCCTATGATAGATAGGATATTTACTGACTGATTTAGCATGTAGCTCAATACAACTAGAAAAGGCTGCAAATTCTTTGCATTGTTCATTTGTCTGGATTCTTAGAAGCACTTTGTATCGTGATTCATAATGTTGGGACAGGCACATATACCATCAAGCACCACCACGAAATATTTTCGGATTCACGTGTTCTGCGAAGAGTCGTAAATCCGTAAGAAGACTAGCTACTTTATCAACAGGTAACTTCAATCTTTGCACTGTTAGCTTAGCTCTTTCCCATCAGCTTGTTGTGCTCTTTATGCATTCCTCTTCGTGTATGTACGTGCACCTGTCCTCATGTTTTTTTCTTTTAAATATCAGAAAAAATCCCTTCCTTAGGCTAGAAATTTATTGTTATATACATTGCTGTTACATCCTTTTCTCAACTGTTCTGTTCATCTCTCTTTAATTTTGTCTGCAGCATCCAAATCATATAATTTTTTTTTTAGTTCCTAACTGTATGTCAGTGTTAAGATTTACCCTAATGGATCTTACCAACTGCCAATAGCTTAGGAATCAGATGCTTGTTTGATTTACTTTCTTCCTTTGGTCAGCTTTATGTACTCACTTTTTTGGGTATAATTGGCTGGACATCCCGGATCAAGGTTCTTGAGCTTTGAGCCTTTCTTCCGATCAACCTTAAGCTTGGCTTTTCAAGTCTTCATTGACCTAGCTTGCTCATTCATCTATTTCTCAGGAATTTAGCCGGCTTATAAGTGAAATATTAATGTAATAAAACCTCAAAATGCTGCCTACATTTGTTGATGTTCAATTACCAAAGACCTTTATGCAACAGTCACGCTCCAATTCAGCCAATACCTCTGCAATAACATCTGATTCTATCTGTCAACAATCTCCCAATCTCCCAATCTCCCTATTTGGAACAAGCTCTTGATTAATTAACAGCAAACATCTCCCCTCCTTTTCCTATTTCTTTTCTCAAGCTCTATGTATCAATCTCAACTCATCACTTGTGCTGCTGACTGCTTTGAACTAGTAGGTCTTCTTTTGAGACTATTTTTACTTGTTTCTTGCTCTTTAGATATTGATTTATGGATAATGGATAAGTTATTTCCGGATCATTTTAATTACTTTTTCTCATATTTTGATGCATTTTAAGTTTCTATTGAGTATGTTTGAAATGCCCATAAACATGGTTACACATATTTCCTTAGCTATTTATTGAAGGCTGTAAACTCTTACAAGTTAAGGAGTCAAATTTGCATGCAACTAGCTTCCCATGAGTCAAATTTACTCTAACTCACACATTTGATCACAATGCTTGAAACAAAATCCGAAGGTCAAGTGCTAGATTGTATTTACAAATTCAATTCTTGTGGCGATAGAATTTTCATTATGCACCCTCCTCCTGCAAGGTGCAATGAAGATAGGATTCGGTATAGATTCCTTAGTGAATAAACCATAATAAAGATGATCATGCGTACTATGCTCATAAGCAAAAATCTTCATCTGTTAAATAAAATGAGATGTAGGCATATCTTCTCAATTGTAGTTCAAGCATAAATGATACAAACATAAAAGCATTATTCTTGTTGAGACTACATTGATTCTAAGTAAATAAATATCAGAATTGAATATCCATTGTCTTTTGCCATTTTATCTAATTTTTATCCCAGGCTTCTGTCTGTTACTGCAATTTAGGATTTACATGTTTCAAGTCATAATTTCCAAATTTATTTTCCTGTATTTAGACTTGATGATGAATCAGGCAAGATGATTTTTCAGGCAAGTCAAGCACCACTGCTGATAAATTATGCAAGATCATCTGGACCATAGAAGCTGATTTAGAAGATGGTCAGCTTCTTTACATAACTGGTGATCCTGCTGTATTAGGTTGCTGGAAGCCAGACATGGCTCTACTGATGTCTCCTTCAGAGCATGTTAACGTATGGAGGACTGAGTTCAAGGTAGTTCGACTGGGTGTTCTCTTTTAGCTCATTCATTCATAAAGCTTCTATTTGTATTAAAAGATGATTTAGTTTTGGGGCTCTTCTATGTCCAGTTTTCTTTTACCTTTTGTATTGATCCTTCAAGGGAGCTGAGTTAAGCTGAATGGATTTTAAAATATCTTATGCAAAAAATTGCATGCTTGCATGCAATCACAATGAAATAAATGAAACAAAAAATATTGAGATCTATATGGCTTTCCCTTCTGATTGGAGCCCAACTTTCTACAGGCTTGTAACTTCTCCTTGGATCACTGTGCAAATAAACACTTTAAATGTCTGACATCTTTAATCTGCATGGTTAACAGTATCCTGCATCTAGAGGGAAGAAACCAAAATCTTGTCTTTGCAAATCATTCCTTCTACAAATCTGAAGACCCAGGAAGTCATTTCAAACAATTGAATCTTCTCTAACCTGTTGTTAAGAACCGAAACATAAGCTGGAAGTATATACGTCAAGACAAAAAAGAGACCTTGCGTATATCTTGGAACTTTACTATTATTGAAGAATTCCCATTCTGTCTCTAGGAGAGGGACTCTACTTTGTCAAGTTAGATATGATGTCTTGTTAATGCTTTGGATAATACACACTGATTTTCAGGCGTGTTGGACACTGGCTCTGCCATGTCACATCTTTTGTGTCAAAAAGACAAAAATTATTTATGATCTTTTTTCCTTTTAAGTTAGACATGGCTGGACATGGGCCAAAGTGTGCTAGACACGGGTGGCCCTAAGAAAAGGCAAGATGACCATAAGAAAAAATCAAGTAGAATGGGAGACTTGGAACCCCATCTTGAGATGATTAAAGTTCTTTCTTGGTGTTCTTTTTTTCTTTTTTGTGAGAGTTTTACATGAATAATTTGAATAATATAGTCTAAATGTTAGCATTTACTACATTTCTTCTATAAAACGATTTTGTAAGATATGTAGAAAATAGGATAACATTTGTTTCTCACAAAATATATATTTATATATATTGTTTTTATGTGTTTTGTTATTTTTTAAGTTTCCCCACCTAGTGGGATAAGGCTTGTCGTTGTCATCATTGTTATTTTTAAAGTTAGATGTGCCAAACATTCCTTATCAAAGCCATTATCTTCTCAGAATATGATGCAAACATCAAATTACAGTTTAGTATATATTCATCATAACTCAAACTATTTATTCTTGCAGATTGAATGTGGCTTGAATTTCAAATATAATTACTTCATTGAGGGAAAATCAGGTTCCTCAAGTGACATCCTTTGGAAGCCTGGACCAGAGTTTATTCTATCTGTACCTCCTAATGTTCATGGAGATGCTAAAATTGTAGTAAGGGATTCATGGATTAGATCTGATTGCCAGATGTCTGCAGCTTATGCATGGGGTCACTACATGGAAGAGATGTATCTTCTAGAGCATACCCCTATATCTTTTCCGGTCAAAGGTGTTTCTCCCTATTCTTACCCATTTATAGTTAACTTCTTTGCATAATGTTTTTCTGAACACTCAAATGTTTACAGTGGTTTGACAGATGAAGCAAAGATTATGAATCAGCTTGAAAATGACATGACAAAGTTGAAGGCACTTGGAGTAGAAGATCATTTCTATGATGACAATGAGAACATGATAAATGGATTTGATATGGTTTCAAATTCTAGTAGCATATGTTCTGATAAATACCAGCCTATTGAAGAACCCTGGTTGCTCTGTCCACCATCTTTCTTTGTCTCCAAGGATAGAGTAGAATCTGATGCAAGAACTGATGCCACTGTAGAAAATCAAGTGACGCTAGTAGATACAGACAAGTTGTTGCCTGAAGAAAGTAGTGATATCATTTCAAAGGAACCTGTTTCTACCATTATACTGATTAACTCTTCAATATGTACCATGCAAAGGATTGCTGTGCTGGAAGGTGAGAAATTGGTTGAATTGTTACTGGAACCCGTGAAGAGCAATGTGCAATGTGATAGTGTATATGTAGGGGTAGTCACAAAGCTTGTTCCCCATATGGGTGGGGCTTTTGTAAATATTGGTAGTTCTAGGCCTTCTTTAATGGACATAAAGCATAACAGGGAACCATTTATTTTCCCTCCATTTCGTCAAAGAACGAAGAAACAAGATCTGCAGGCTTCATCCATTCCTAATAAAAATGATTTGATATCTGATGATGTTGAAGTCACTGATGGAATGTCAGACATACACTCTGAGGATGGCTCTTTACAATTACTGCACAATGACTATGATGAGCAGGAAGGAGAAGATGATTATGATATTTCAGAAGTCCTTAAGGAAAATGTAAATGGCAGCTTGGTTGATGATGTTGAAGTAGAGGCTGACTTTGAGGATGACATTGATGGAAGTGAAGTCCATCTAGAAGAAGAAACCAAAAGCACTTCCCTTTCTACCAGCATAGATGGGTCTGTCAGCTATCAAATTTTACGGGACAAAGATACAGAGGGAGACCAAGTACCTGCTGAAGAAAGTAAATGGACCCGAGTTCGCAAGGGCGCCAAAATTATTGTACAAGTTGTCAAAGAGGGTCTTGGTACCAAGGGTCCCACTCTGACTGCTTATCCAAAACTAAGAAGTAGATTCTGGGTATGCTTTTATGCATGCACCTGTCCTTCAACGTTGCAGTTATATCATTCCTGGTCTTTACCCTGCAGTAGTTTTCAAATATTTCTTTGTCTTAACTAGACTTTCTGGATTTCAGATCTTGGTGACTCGTTGTGATAGAATAGGAGTCTCCAAAAAAATTTCCGGTGTTGAGCGCACAAGACTGAAAGTTATTGCAAAAACGTTGCAGCCTCAGGGTTTTGGTCTCACTGTAAGAACTGTTGCTGCTGGTCATTCGTTAGAGGAACTGCAGAAAGACTTGGAAGGTTTGCTTTCAACTTGGAAAAATATAATGGAACAGGCAAAATGTGCAGCACTTGCTGCAGATGAAGGTGTAGAAGGAGCTGTTCCTGTTATTTTGCACACGCCAATGGGTCAAACTCTCTCAGTGGTCCAGGATTATTTCAGCAAAACGGTTGATTCTGTTGCTCATTTGAAGTCTCTCTCTTTATTTATCTCTATAATATCACTCATAGAAAATGCAGTTTATGATATGTCTTCTAATTACACGTTACTCTGATGTTACCTTCAGGTTAAGAAAATGGTGGTTGACTCGCCGAGGACATATCATGAGGCATGTCATGAACTTTTTACTGCAAATGGATATTCTGCCAGAATAGGACTTGAGCATTTCTATCTGTGTGTGACCTACTTCAACTTTCATTCCCCCTAGAGTTTATATCATTACAGGGGAATTTTCTGACTGCCAGCTTGCTTCACCCAGCTGTATCTTGGATTCTCAAATTTTGGTTCACTATAGTCTCTTAGTAAATTTCTGTCAGATCTTGATTAAAGCAAAGAACTTAAGAACTATATTTACATTATTATGATAACTTGGGTACAATTTTTACTGATGGTCATATGCATGCTTATTTTATATATAATCTAAGGCTGCTATATCAATGAAATGCTTCTGTTGTTGTTACAGCATTTAGATCAGTACCTTATTGAAGATTCCATGTACAAACTTTCACAGCTCAACTTTTGTTTCTGTTCTTAACTTTTTCATTTATTATTCAGGTGACCAGTTACCTTCAGGAAATTGCCCCTGATCTCTGTGATCGAGTTGAGCTATATGATAAAAGAGTTCCACTTTTTGATGAATTTAACATTGAAGGAGAGATTGACAATATCCTCAGCAAAAGGTAACATTATGTTATTCACCTTCTGCTTATAACTGTTAACATCTCCATTGTATTTGGCTGTTTAAGATAAGTTTCATAATGATTTTAATCAACCTATTCACACCAAACTAACAGTGATAAAGATTATTTGAGGACTTTCTGAATTGTAATGAAAAACGACTTTGGGTTTCCATTAATGCACTTATTGGGGTTATTTGGGATTCACCATGTGATACATGGGAATTAGGAATAGCAAGGGTAATTAGGGAAATTAGGGGTAAAAAGGGTAGTTTGGGAATATGCTAAATATCTCTATAAATAGGGTCCTATGGATGTGATGGGTCTCTTATGAAAGATATTTCTATTACTTAGGTTCTATTTCCCTTTTACCTTTATCATGCTTCTAACTAACACTTGGTGTTAAAAAGTTATGGAGAAGAAAAGTGAGGCAGAAGAGAAGCAATATCATTGAAAGACTCTAGAAATGATGAGTATATCCAAACCTTTATTTATACTAACACTTTTGCCACTTAATGACTCTAACATCCATGGCATTGGTTGTGCCAACATGGAATCCTTTCTCAATCCACTGGAATTTTCTGAATACTTGTTCTCCTCAAGAATTGGAAATTAAGGGCTTATTAGCTTTAGAAAAATGTTGGGAAAAATCACAAATATCTCTGAAAATTTTTGTGTAACTTCACAAAATAATGTGCCCTATGGTTTCAAGCATTTTATGTTTGCAACACGGGTCTAATTAATTAAGATTTTCTTTTTTCTAAATGAATTTAATCTAGAGGACAAGGAATCTCTTGAATGTATAGAAGATGCTAGAGAAAATCAGCTCATGTTACCCCGATTATGTGAATTTCTCTCCAAGAGAATTTTATAAAACGCACAACGCAGAGCTCTGTGATGAACCAAAAATAAAATAAAATAAAATTACATTGTCTCCAATTTAATCAATTGAAGAAAATGGTTTCAAAAGCTCTATCAATTCATTCCAGAAATACACCATGACTAGTAGCAGTTTTTCTTCTTTTTGAAGGTCTCCTTGCTGGCATTAACTTGGCTTCTTCTTGTTTTTTTTTTAATGTTGAAATTCTGGTCCTTCTAACCAAGCTCAACTAGTTTATGTCAAGTAGCATGCGCTCTTTATAACAAAAGGCTTTATTGAATGGCAAACAAAAGAGACACTTCAATTTTACCTTCCTGATATCAAATTGTTTATCTTTTACTAGCTTCTAATGAATCAAAGTGTGGTCTAAAAAATCAGAATATTACTAAAAAAATGTCAGTAGATAAAACTGAAACTATAACTGAGAATCTCTTTGCCAACTCTTTCCTAGAATGTGAATTGTTCTGGCCTTCGTTGCAAACTTGATCATTTGAATGCCTTGCCAGATTTCTTTACTTTTTCTTATTTTATAGGGTTCCACTTGCTAATGGAGGTTCTCTAGTTATTGAACAAACCGAGGCATTAGTTTCTATTGATGTAAATGGAGGGCATGGGATGTTTGGTCAAGGAATCTCGCAGCAGAAAGCTATACTAGATGTCAATCTTGCAGCTGCAAAACAAGTACGTTGGATTCTGAGCTCTATATTATTGTCTATTTGCAGATGGCAGACTTTGGTAACATAAATATTGGTATTACTCTCACCTGCGAAGACAAAGTATGGATACTAGAAAAGGTCATCAATTCAACTCCAAAACCTATCTGATAGGAAAGTTCTGTTAAAAATACCATGTGAGCACCCAAGCCATCAGCACCACCTATCAACGACCTTATCTGTTGTTTCATTTGCATTTCTTTTATCTCAAGGTCCTACACACCCCCTCGCCCCCAAAAGGCCATATATGTTGATAGTTTCACCTTAAGTCCCAAGATTTTTTTTTTCGGGGGAAATTGATGGATTTCTTTCTTAATAATTTTAGGACCTGTTTGCTTAAGATTAAAAAAAAAGAAGTGATTTTTAGATAGTTTAGAGATTTTATAAAAAGATATTTATTTTGTAGAGATTTATTAAAGAGAAGACATGATTTTATATTTGGTTACAATAATAAAAAGTGATTATTAATTAGTTATTTTTAAATTTTATGATACCTTCATGAATTTTTGTGTTTATAAAAAATTATTTATTATTTAATTATTTTAAAATTTTATGATATCTTTGTGTATATCCTCTTTTTTATGGCATTCTATCTCATCTACTGCATCATATTATTTTCAAAAACAATTCAAGGTAGCTTCTTAAAATAATTAGAAGTATGTTTTCTTAGCTTCTGATTTTTTTCAGAAGTTTATTTTATTGTTAGTTATTAATATCTAAGTCCCATTCACTGTCACTATGAAACTCTTGTAAATAAGCAGGAAATTATCGCGTCACCAAAATAAGTAAAAAGTAACTTATATTAAAACTCTTTTAGCAAGTTAAATCAGCTAAGCCAGTAACTTTTCTGAGTGATGTTCTTGAAGAATGTGCCATTTTGATATTATCCTTAAATTTGGGACTTTGTTTTCAGACTTGGTAACTTTTCATTGAATTTCAACCATGTGCATGGTAAAACTCATGTTGATAATTTTTACAGTAGTTGGAAGGCAGTGTTTCTCAAGTAGAAAAACTGAAACTTTCAGCATGCAAAACTATATCCAAGTCTCACCTTGTATCTTATTATTGAATCCTCTTAATCACTTCCTTTGATAAATATTAGAAGTATGCAAATAAAATAAATAAATCATAGAAATAAAATGTCAAAGGAGAGACAGCATTAATACTTTGGTTATGGTGCACACAATTTAGAGAAAGTTGTATTTACTCTGATCATTTTGTGTGTTGGATAATTATCTTGTTATCTTTCATCTATAGTATTGATCCTAATGTTCTTTCCCTATTAAAGATTAATATTTATTGAGGCTTTTAACCGTTACAAGTTGTTTGTTTAATAGAAACCATGTGTTGCAGATTGCTAGGGAGTTGAGGTTGCGGGATATTGGGGGCATTATTGTGGTTGATTTCATTGATATGATTGATGAGGGTAAGTAGAAAGCTTTCTCTTGATTCTTCAATTAAAGCACATATCAAATAATGAGTTCTGTTGAAGTAATTTATCTTAGAAAATTGTTTTTTTTTTCCATTAATATTTTTTCAATTCTAATCTTTTGTTAGCTAGTCTCTCGATGATTAAACAATATTGAATCCCTACGAAGAACTTTCTGGGATTCCATAAAAGGAAATTGCAATAAGTAAACCATAGTTCAATCCAATCAAAAACGCTTACTCAAGGTTCCACAGAGCCAAGTGGTTTTTTAGCCAACATAGATCCAAGTATAGTGAAGGACTTTTTCTTTTTCTCTGCTCTATCTTTGTGTGTTTATCTGCTAGCCAAGGTCCAAGAATGATTTCATAACTGTTAGCTTGGTCCTTCAAGTGCAAATCTATTGATAAATCATGGATAAAGCTGAGTTGCCAATTGCACAAGTCATCAAGTTTCAAAATAAATCTCCTGATATACTAAAATTTTTAATGATCAGCGAATAAAAGATTAGTCTATGAAGAAGTCAAGAAGGCCGTTGAGAGAGACAGATCCATGGTTAAAGTCTCTGAATTGTCCAGGCATGGACTCATGGAAATAACACGAAAGAGGGTATATTCCTCAGCTATAGCATAGTTTCTTCTGTTGAATGTTTGCACAGCTTCCACTCAAATTAAATCATGATTAATTAAACAATATAACAAATATTTACTAATATTCAACAGGTTCGACCAAGTGTAACTTTCATGGTTAGTGAACCATGTTCCTGTTGCCATGGCACTGGCAGGGTTGAAGCTTTAGAGACATCCTTCTCAAAAATTGAACAACAAATCTGCAGGCTTCTTGTAAGTACAAAATTGCATCTTTTGAATTTCTCTTTCATACATCAAATAAGCCATGATATTGGGATAAAAAAATTGATGGTCATTCATTTAATTTGGAAATTAAAGGAATCCACACTTTGCGTGGGATTTTAAAATTAATAATCTTAATAGAACATACTATTAACAAGAAAATGTGAAAATATTCTTATATCTATGAAGGAGATATTTGGTAAAAGGAAAAATTTGTCTTTTTCAGCATGCTGTACTTAAAGTCTTTCTGATTAATTTGATGTTGTGCATGTTACTTGCTGTTATCTATTTCTTCTTCCACCTATTGCCAATTCTCTTTTCCTGCTTGTTTTCTCCCTACCCTTCCTGATGTTTCTGCTTGCTCTATTGTAGTGATTTGTGATTTCTTGTTTCCTCCTACCCTTTTCCCAGGCAACACTGGATGGGAAGCCAGACCCGGAAAACCCAAAATCCTGGCCTAAATTTATTCTGAGAGTTGACCATCATATGTGCGAATATCTGACTTCTGGTAAAAAGACGAGACTTGCAACATTGAGCAGCTCTCTTAAAGTCTGGATTCTCTTAAAGGTAAAGCTGATTTCTTTTAACTGATTATGCCTGTGCTGAATTTATGGCTAGCTGTGAGGCATACACACTTGTGAACTTATACATATTGGCATCTCTCGCCTTCTCCTGCAAATCTGTGTAAATATGGATCAGATGGAGTATCTTTCAAGAGGATAATCTCTCGCCAAGTTCAAGCTTTATAATCCGACAAGCTCATAGAATTGCCATACATACATATTTCAATTCGATCCCTTACAAATAAAACAGTTACAAAAAGCATCTAAATATTTAAATATCATATAATAGTACCTATTTAAAACATATACGAGTATGTCTGTTAATTTTATTTACAGTAGATTAACAGAAGATACTGTTGATAGCAATTTCGTTTGTGACCAAATTGATAAATCCTTTTGTGAAACATTAAAATGGTTTTGTAGCCAATTCTATACTGCAGTCTAATTGGCACTCCTTCAATCAGACCTATTTCTTCGGATTGCTTCCTATATTTTATTCTTCTGCATGGTACATCGTAGCATAATGAATGATCCATGTGAGATTTATATGAGAAGATGTTCTTGAGTTCTTAAATTGAAGAAGCAAAGTCTGAGATAGGGCTTCAGCTAAGTTAATCATTGCTTAAAATAATTTACACATCAATTATCATGCTGGGATTAATCAACTGATTACTGGCTGTTTTAAATTGGCTCAGGTTGCTAGAGGTTTCACCAGAGGAACATTTGAGGTGAAACCATTTACAGATGACAAGGTGGAGAAAAATCAGCATCAACATCAAGTCGCTATTTCAATGTTGAGATCTTCAGAGGCCAGTACCAAAAAACCTGGCCAAAACGTGACCCTTGTTCCTGTCAAGAAACTGAAGGCTAGGAGGAAATAAGTCGGTCATGATCTGTACAATAGTTCTTTCATGAAGTAGGCCTCATTGAAGGTTAGGAGGAAATAAATGAGTCATGGTTATCTGTAGAATAGTTCTTTTCTTGAAATTGACATAGCCATCCTTCCACTTTTCTTGTGTGTTCTAGTTTTGATCAGTTTTGGATGGTATACATAGGTTAGGAAGAGAAAGTATGGCATTGTGGGAGAGCAAAAGTCATGAACCTGAGAAGCCTAAGGACAAACTTTTGTATAAAAATTTTTCGACTGAACATATCACAAGAGTCCAAAAGTTCTACTTGCTTTGGATTTTATTTGTGCAATGTACTACTTTCAAGGTTTTATACAGGTACTTTTTATTTTTTTTTTTAATAGATTTGTGAAATTTAGAGAGAACATTTTGAATTATCCTGTCATAAAAGTTGGGTTACAAAAATACGTTATGTATCCATGGAATTTTGAATAAAAAATAGATGGAACACGGTACTTTTTTCGGACCATAAAAATTAAATGTGCCAAAAAAAAAAGTGCCAAAATCCCGCAGTCTCCTTGTATTGGATATCAAATGATAATTTTTTTTATATATATATAATCATAAAATCATTTATGTATCAACCAAAACATGAAGTTGCCCACTTGACCTGTCTACCTACAAGAAAGATAAAATGGCCCAAATGATATCAATGAAGAGAGAAATTCTCTCTGTTTTGAGATATGCAAAATATGTGTGTGTGTGTGTGTGTTATTTGTAAAATTATTTTCTCCTATTTATATAATCATGGAAGGATCCCAGAACAGGACTCAGTGGATGCCATCCAGAGTCTATCTAATTGTACACATTAGTATTGTGTCATATGGGAAGGAAAAGCAAATGGCCCGTTTGCTAGTTAAAAAATCATGATATGGACTAAAACAGTAATGATCGTGGACAATTTTTTGTTGGACAAGCACAATGAAGTGATAGAAAAGTAAAGATAAGGAACCAAGAAGTTGGTCTGAGTGATAATCGGCTCGGTTTCGCTTAAGTAAGGTCTCAAGTTCGAGCCTTGTGTATGTATAAAATTCCCTCTGGGAGACTCACCCATTATGCAAGGTGTGCAACGCGGATCAGATCCGGATATAGTCGAGACAAAGCTTTGATGAACCGGATGGGCTACCAAAAAAAAAAAGTAGAGATAAGGAGTGACATCTAGATTTTAAAATTTTCAAGAATTGTAATTAGTATTACCATGGGAGAAATTATTCTCATGATTCTGATCAACCAAACATAAAAAAAATATGCATATTGCATGATAATTATTAAGAGATGAAGAAAGTTGGACCTAAGTCTTAGCAGACGCTTTGCAATGGCACCCCCCCTTGAATTTTAAGTTTTTTCCCTTCTCTCTCTCTCTCTCTATATATATATATATCTCTCTCTAACCAAACCAACCCTCTTTGAATTAGGAAAAAGTAGTATAACAAAATAACCATGGTAATGTTCTAGTCTTCTAGAACATGAAAAAGGACAGTCTACTGTATGGTCACATCATAATAAGGTTAATCACACTAGTGGTTAATGCATATGCCTCTATGGCTTTCATTACACAAAAAGATGCAAAAGCAAAATCAACTTAAAAATATATACCAAAATATCGCATGGCTCACACTTGAACGGAAGAAGGAATAAACTATGACAATAAAAAAGCGACACCCCGTGAATAAAGAGGCAATACATCTCAGTACAACCCCCAAATTAGAGAGATCCAGAAAATAAGCAACATTCTTTATTAGCATTACAATCGAAATGCATTATAGAAAAAGAAAACTTGAAGATCCTCAGGGGCAACACACATCTTCAACGTGTTCTGATAGTTTTGTCTTCTAACAACATAACTAGAATGATGCACAATGTTAGGTTTTAGAATAAGCCATAAGAGCATAAATAAAAGTACAGAAGTTGCATTGCTTCAACCATCAACGGCTGATTATATAGATAAGGTTCAAGCACAGAACAAATTTTAATCAAGGGGGTTCATAACTTCTGAGGAAGCACTACTCTTACAACACAAAACTGAATGATTTTACTCTTTACTACAGAGACTTGAACAGACAGGCTACAATATATCAAATGCAACACAGCTAACAGCTAAAAGTACAGACGCACGATATTCCAGTGTATGAAACAATAATCTCAAATGTCACAGAAATCAGTTGGTTGCGACACTACAGGTATTGATTCCGTCCTTGCAATCATTGGTCAAATCATTGAAAGTTTCAATCTGCTTTTTCCCCCTCAAGAACACTTCAGTGTCAACAGAGACTCTCATGTAACCATCAAATTCTACTGGAACCCCATTATTAAGCTTTGTTGTCTCAGAGTACCATTCGCTATTTTCATCCCAAAGATCCCTATATTCATCAAGAAAATGAGTGGCATACTTATCTTTTAAAGGGTCGAAGAAAGATGTATCTAGTTCATTCGTTGCAACATAGAGGTTCCTTCCCTCATCAACCTTGTCCCGCAAGGTTGAGAGAAGTGCATCAGGAGAGGTATCTGCATCTAGATTAGGCCAAAGCTCCTTGTTCCTTGCCTTTTCGCCTCTCACAATATGAACAGAGTCATAGTCCCAATTCAACCTTGCTGCTATTGCCGACACTATTTCCATCAACCGCTTGGATTTCCATATCAAATGCCATGGCCTTTGAACAACAGATTCAGTCTCTCCTTCACAGACCCTATACCAGTAGTTATCTGGCTCTACAGAACCAAACTTTCTCATAATCAAAGCATCTTTCACTTCTGCAAGTTTCATGGGGGTGACCCTAAAATCCTCCACAAGATGAAGTGTCAACATATCTTTCTTTTGCCATTTATTCCAATCTAACCAAAACTGACCCTGGTCCAATACAGAGGCTGCCTCCTTCAAATGCTCAAAATCAAAGTAAAACCTGAAATCCTTGCCCTCTTCATTTTGCATTGATGAAGTGTAAATTGAAGAAAGACATATGCTCAAATCCATAACCAATGTTCGATTAAGGTATTGAGCTTCCCCAAGGGCACACAAGAAACTCCAAAGATAATGATTCATACTCTTGCACCTATCTCCGCCACCCACATAGATCAAGTACTTTTGATGACTAAACGAACTTTCAGACTCAACTACAGGAAGGCTATCATTGACAATCTCTCCAACAACGGGCATTGAGGTCATCTCCTCTGACTTTGACCCAGATTTCTTATTCTTCTTCCTCTTCCTTGCATTTACACCTGTATGGTATTCCCCGATGCTGACAATACTAAGTGTACAGTTCTCGGACCTAGAAATCTCAAACCTCCGATAATCCTTATAAAATGCTGCAGCTTTCCCTTCCTTTGGCCTGAACCGCCATGCCATATCACAATTATGATCATCGGACCCTCGTACAGGTTTCCCAAATCGGTAAAAGTGGATATCCTTAAACTTTTCAATAGTGGTCGTCATCATCAAATGGAACACCTCAGGGTCCTTACAATCAATAGGAGCATTGACATCACAATCAGATGAGACAGCCTCTTTGTTTTCGAATTCAACTGAGTTATTAACATCTGTTAGATTAATGGCAGTGCCAAATGAAGTTTCGTTGGTAGCCATAAAATCCTCTCCAGTTTTAACAACAGTGTCATCAGATTTGAAGGTGGCATTGGATTTGGAAGTTAGGAAGTTGGTGATCTTGGTCGAAGGATGAAACAAGGGGTCCTCAGGTTCATAAGTAGCAGCAATAATCGTAAAGATTAACACTCCAATAACAAACATGGAGAAGCATACATTCCCAATCATGGCCAACGCATTTTGGCCCAAATTTTCAGGCCGGAAATTTCCGGTTCTTAACACCGCAGAGCGACCCCACATTCCTATCTTCTATCAGATTACTCCCAATACAACTTTCCTACATAAACAGGAGAAGAGCGAAGATACCCAGTAAATTAAATGACAAAAAGAGCAAGTAGAACTTCAGAAAATGAAAATAAAACAAAGGACAAGCATTATTAACGGTTCAAAAGTCCATCTCTCATTTCAAAGAAGTATGGAAAACGAAGAAGATAACATTAGATCTGCAACCATATCCTTCAATATCAAAACAATAAAAAAACGAAAGAAAAAAAAAACAAAGATCGCCTAAAACCCACTTATCCAATTTACAAGACTCGCTTTGATCTGTGAGGCGAATTGAAGAATGATTCACAAACCTCTTGACTTCCCAGAAATGCAGCGTTGAGCGTCACTGCCAGCTTCCCTCAATCTCAGACTTCAGTGTCGGAAAGTCTCTGATTTTATACTAAACAAAAGTACCGAGTGCAAAAAAAAAAAAAAAATTGATCTATCGTCTGCAGTGATGATGATTAATATATTGTAAATGTTACAGTAAACGGTAGGCGCAATGCGCACGCAGAGTACAAATTGGATGACGACGTGCACAACGAAAATGAGGCAGGAAGAGTTGAAGTTGAAGCGGTGGTGTAACGCGCCCTCAGTGCCATCGAATTGAACCCTCGTATTTTTCTGATCAAGCAATAGATGATTGTAAAGTATTTGGACAAACGATTTGACGGTGTGTTTGTAAGATATTAGGAAAACAAAATATTAATTAAAAAATAAAATTTTCAATCCTTTAAATTTAGCGCAGTTATTCATTCGATACCAGAAACTTGATCTTCATCAATTAAGTCCTGTCCATACAATTTTTAAATCATACATTGTATATGATTATAAATTTTTGTCGTCTTCTTATTGCAAAATTCAGTGACCTTCACTGTATTTACAACCATTTTTTCGTAATTTGCAATTGAAAATCTAAAAATTGTCACTAAAATTTTGCAATTCATAAGTTATGATGCAGATCGTGTGAGGACCGTTTTATTTATTTTTTTTTTTAAAAATTATCTTTTTCTGAATTTCTATAATTTCTTAAATGTGCAGTCATTTCAGATCGTTTCTCTTTCCTAATAGTCTATTTGCATTTCTTCCTAAATTTTTCTAAAGCTAAAATTTAATTCATAATTAGAGGTGGACAAAATCAAATTGAAATTGTAAATCAAATTGCATTGAATCAAATTTTATCTATTTAATTCAATTTATTTGATTCAATTTATTTTTTTATAAAAAAGATTTTAGTTGATCGGTTTGATTCAATTAATAAAATTTAAAATTAAATAGATCAATTATCTCATACATATATATATATATATATGTATATGTATATAATAATTTATAAATTTACAAATTATATATAGCTTATTAATTACTTTATTTTATTTTATTCTTTTTAATTTTATACTTAAAAAAAGTAAATATATAAACTAACTAATAAGAATATATAAAACCTTAATCCTCGCTCTCCACATTTTCACTTCCTCTGCCATGTTCTCCCTTTCCTTGTAACCTCTCTTGCTCTCCAGTTCTTTTTTATGTTTACCGTTTTCTAGCCAAAGTCTACTCCTCTCAATGCTGTCGACAAGTTCGTTCCCCTCGGTCGTCACCCACATTGCCAATGAGCTCCTGTGCCCTCACCACCACAATGTCCTGCTCCAACACCATCCATCTCTACCATTTCAATAATGATTAACTTATCACATCTCTCACCTCTTATAAACTCTGCTCCTTCCATGCTTCCCTCTCTCCCTTTCTCATTGAATTGTTGTGCTTCAACCCTTGGAGATTTCGTCTCCCTTAAAACTTGATTTGTCATCTGGGTTTTTGTGCCTTAATGATTTTTTTATTCTACCTTTAATGTTTGAATGTTTTGATTTCTTCAAGCCTTGATTTTTGCCTTTGATTTCTTTAATTTCTAAATGTTTTACAATAGTGCCTTATTGAATATATCCCTTTCTAAATGCTTTGTTTGAATATTTTGTTGAATTTATACATTTAGAGCCTATAAACCAAATATAATGGTTGAACCGAATTATTATAATTCAATTTGATTTTATTTCAATTTGATTTGGTCCAAACATGTTATGTAATTTGGTTGATTGGTTTTGAAAAATTTGACACCAAATTGAACTGATGCTCACCCCTAATATAAACTGCTAGCAAATAAGAGTTTACTTCTCTCCATTGCCATGAAGAGAACACTAAAAATCTATACCATCTAATTAGATTTGATAATTTAAATTTGATAGTTGTAAAAATACAAAGTAATAATCTGTATCATTAAAATATAATATAAACGGTTTATATTGCGGTGAAAAGAAACAAGTCCGGGCAAACAACCCGTGGGAGAAAAAAACAGAAATTGCCACACAAATTTCCCTCAACAATGTAGCAATTAACAACGGCATGTTATAATTTACACGTGTCTTTTTAACATTTTTTACCTTCTGCACCGTATAATTATTGTTCACTTCAATTTTTTCTCTCTCTCTCTCTCTCTTTCTTTCTTTTTTGAATAATACGTGAAACATTGAACCAAACAAGAAAACAGTAAAACCAGCTTTATTTCCTTCAAAAACGTGTTTTGATTTTTGCACCAAGCCATATACATGTGAAATTCATCAATAAAATAAAATCTATAATCTATAAATGAAAATAAATATACAAAAATTTAATGATCCACTTTTTAAATTTGATTATCATTTTTAACTTGGTAGTTAAAAAGGCATTATTCTACATTATGCTCTTTTACAAGTTAAAAACAAACTGAACAGAATCAACATTCCAATGTGATCTAAAAGTTCCCTCCTGGGACATCTAATAAAATTGAAACGATACAATATAATCCAAGTAGCCTAACTATAGATAAGCATCATCTTGCTCATCTTTAAAGGAAAGATTCTCTAACAAGTCAGAAGCCAAGTATCAGGAAAGAACACATTAATTTTATCCTAAACAAATTCATTCCCCTGAAACTAGCAGGAAAAGAACTGGGGGTTTAATAAACAATAGTCAATCAATAAAAAGTGTCAACGGATATAAGAACTAATTTCAGAAACCTATTCCCCCAGATTCCTGTGTGCCACAGCAACAATACTTGCTTCAGTAAATAATTTTTCTTGCTATCAAAATTCACTTTACAGGTAAAAGACAAAAGGCATCAAAAACTTTCCCACCAACCTATACCTTCCCAACCCTATTATACTCAAACAAAAACAAAGAATGAACAACATTTCTCGCCACTCAACACTGCTCCTAAATAGAGAGAGAGTTCAAGGCCCTCAATAAAAGAGAGGGGAAAGGCTAGGAGCTATGAAAGAAAGAAGAGGGTTCATACGGTAACACAAAATAGCAGGAGCAAGAAAGAGAAGGCCTGCATATGTTTCTACCTTATCATCTAACTTTCAATGGTTACAGGTGGACTGTACCTTTCATGTCCTCAACCCAAGCAATCAGAAGATTATTGGCAAATTTTCCAGCTTCTTACACTCAAATTGCATCATCCAATTGCCATGTCTTCCTCATGAAACTCCAACTATATTTTGGAGTTCCCCAAAAAAAATTTCCCCAGATAGGACTCAAAATACCTAGCAGTCAGGAGCATGTGATGTCCAAGCCCATATTAGTAGTTACTCGGCCAATTCATTTGTGAATGCTGAGGCTGCTGATAAACACTGCCTCCAGGTCCCACCATGTCAACTGCTCCAGCCATTGTCTGGGATTGTTGCAAGAGCGGATGAACCGTTGCAGCTGTTACTGCTTGTGCCGGGTGATAGATACCAGCAAAGGTGCCATGGCCAGCCTGTGTTGGGGCGAAAGTCACATGCTGTCCTTGAGGTGGAAGGCTGTAGAATGAGCTAGTTGGCAAACTGGACATTTCCCTACCAGGTGCAGCCACCCAAACCGCTGAACCTTCGCTCTGCAATGAAAAGGCATCACAGAAATTGGCTTTATGGGACCACAAGAATATCAGCAAATTTTGATTTGCGTGTTTTTCTAGATCAGTAAGCATGCCAAACTAAAGGGATCTCCCAGGAGCAAAAAGGTCATTTTCTTGTTGCTATTCTTAAGTGAAATAGAAGGCCAGCTAAAAATATAACATAAATGTGTTAACTGATGCTAATCAAAGTTGCCAAGATAAATGGTAAAGTCAAAAAGGAATAAACCTGCTGCCCACTGATGTATACATTACTTTCCTTGAACTGGGAGGGACCTAGATCTTCATTAGAGTTTGAATTTCCTGTGGTTGCTGTGGAACTAGGATTATAACCGACTGGAGAGGAGCCATAAGCTCCATAGGCTCCTGGCAATACAATGTGAGCTGGGTTTGTAGCATTAGTTCCAGGTTTGTATTGAGGAAGTGGATATTTCATTCCTGCTGCAGCAGCTGCTGGGGGAGGTGGATATACCGGGCTAGCCTGAGGCTGTGGAGGAAATGCACCATTACCCAAAAACTGGTGGATTGCTGGAGGCGGAACATAAAATGGGGAAAAATAGTGACCATAAGGAATATAATTTGGTGGATAATGGGATATATGAACCCCACTAGGTGGTCGAAAGACAGGGACAGGCTGCTGAGTCACCGCTATGGAACTTTGCATTAGCCCAGCAGCTTGAGTAACAAGTGGTGTTGCTCCTGCTGTAGAAAGGACACCGCCCTACAACCATAAAATAGCATAAATTTTCAGAGAATCAGTCTGATACACCCAAAAAAAAAAATGCATGAAACATGGCATAGCCATCACAGAAAGAAGAACCACATGAAACCAGATGTTTCACGGAAAAAAAAACTGCATAGCCAAGTAGCCAAAAGAAAAACACCCGCCAGATGCACAGGGAAAATGGGACAGTGAGGCAACAGTAGCATATGACTGCACTCAATAATATAGGGACAGGGCTTTTGATGGTGGAGTCAAATCCTCTATTTTTGTGAACAGAGTAATAATGAAGGAAGACAACGAATAGCAGGGAACACAAACGAACTAGACAAGTGGGCTAAATGAGGAAACTAGAAAACAACTCCACAAGACAAGGGAAAAGTCATGGTGGTTAAAACTGTTGTGATACACACAACGATGAAATTTACAGTGAAGGCATATTATGGTTGTAAGAACCTGGGGGCTGGAAAAAATATTTCATCTTTTTATACTATAATTTTTGATGTTCTAAAAAGAATTTAACCTGAAAGATAAAATAGAGATAAAAATACAAAATAACTGCAATAGTCCTAGATACTAATAAACTTCTAAACCTATAACATTCCCACTTCATTAGCATAATCTTTGAAGAACTGAAAATTTCAAAGCAGTATGGTCTGCTTGATCGTTGCCATGTCTAATTTTTCAGATACAAGTATACTAACCATGGAATAATATTGAGGCCCCGTTGTCGAGATAAATTATTCAAAGAAAACCTATGAAATTTCTGTCAATTCTCATTGCTTAGCCTCAGTGTTCATAACGCACTCAATGTCACAAATATTACGCATGCATAAAATGCACCTGGAATGAAACATCTCTAATATTCCATTTCACATCACTTCAAGACGCATTTTAATCACAACATTGTACAGACAATTAAACATGATCAGATTAACTTGAGAATTATAATGTCGAAGCACCCAATGGATGTTTTTACTAAAAGTGA